GACAACGATAAGAAAAAAATGGTATAGACTTTTCATAGAACTTAATAATCAGATTTCAAGAGTTTAGTCTATACCCTTATTTGAGAGATACAGAAGAAACTGAGGCCTACACATTATAAATTTGACTGAAATCAGACAGCTGGCAGCAAAATCAAAATTAGAAAGCAGTGTTTGACAACCAACAGTTCAATGTAACAAACATTTGCCAAGCACTTACTATTTATAAGGTTCCATGCGAGAGGCTATGGATATAAATATGTACAGTAGTACTCTTTAATTTCTTTTCCATTTTTTACTAAATATTTTTACAGAATCCAATAAAAGTCATTTTCTTAAAAGAAATCAGGTTGTTTTTAAAAAGTATAAGATTTATTTCATAAATTAAGTGGGTTCAAAGGAATATTCAATTCACGGGGATCATGTACCTAATCATACAGTTTAAAAGGGAAATAGGAAGAAATAATAACACTGAGACTCTTAGCTCTCTTGATCCCTATAAGAAGGAACATGGTGGGAAAAGAGTATAAAAGCAAAAAACAAAAACATCGGTAGAGCCATTTTACCACATATATCTGTGGCTTGCCCTCTGGAGGGTGGCGTGGTTTACAGGAGCCCTGCCCAGCTTGGCATAATACCCATGATAAGCAAGACTAGTTTCCTACCAGTTTCCTCCAGGCAGGTCAGACACTTGAGGCTTTTAGGCTAACTTATTTGCAAGCTTGCTTGAAGTGACTAGAAACTTTCTCTCTTAGGCTAAGCATTCAATAGCTCGTCATTTTTCTTCAATTCTGAATAGGGAAATTTCCAGAGCTTATGATGATGAGAATTACTATTACATATTTAACCATTACTTAATTGCTTACCTTGTTATGTCTTCTGTTAACTGTGCTGGGTCAGGTGGATAAAACTTTACATTAAATGTAAAATTCCAAGGGACACCTGTAAAAATAAACACAAAAGAATTTTATGTTTATATCTAAGTTTATGATTACTAGAAGTACCTTTAAAAAAATCACTTCTCAGCCTTTTGGCTAAGATCAAGTGTAAAAGTACCTCAAAATATTCAAAAATTTATTTTTTTCCTGAAATTTTAAAATATTTTCGTGCCTTGTGGATTAAAAAAAAATTTTTTTCTTAAAGAAAAAGAAGAAAGTTGCTTAGATATCACTTAAGAGTTAGAGCTAGAAGATCTCATTTTTTTACCTGACTTAGTATTATATAATAGTTTTGTTTACAAAGGATGAGAACTACATAGGCAAAATAACATGACGAAAACCATTCCTTATGGCAACTTGTATGTAACGATGATTTTCAAATTGTGATCTATATACAGTCTGTGTCGCTTAACAACAAATATACAGTCTGAGAAATACCTCATTAGACGATTTCATTATAATGTGAACATCAAATGGTTTAGCCTACTACAGGCTTAATGGTGTGTTATAGTATATATTATAGGCTACAAACCTGTACAGCATGTTACTGTACTGAATGCAATTATAACACAATGTTAAGTATTTGTGTATCTAAATATAGAAAAGGTACAGTAAAATATGGTATTATAATTCTATGAGACCATCATCATATATGCAGTCCATGTTGACAGAAATATCACTATGCAGTGCATGACTGTACTACTCTGAGTCCTGAGAGGTCATTCGGGTGACCCAGAAATGTTTTCTGGTTTGGCATTATTTATTTATGATATCTGTCAAAAGTATCTCAAATAAAAGCATTCTTCTCATTAATATGGGTGAGATAAGGAGGCTGTTTTAGAAATAAGAACAAAGAAGTAATATAGGTAGCTTTTAGAAACTATACTTCTAACAAAAATATTTTAGGCATGAAAACTATAAGAGTTCAATGCTCAGACACATACAAATATGTCGCATTTTTGATCTACGATGAAAATCAGAGATTACAAGTAAAGGTTAAATGGAGAATGCATTTTAATTTTTCCAGCTGACTGCTACCCTTCAGGGTTTTTCTAGCATGTCTGCTGGCTTCCCAAAGAGTAAGGCCTAATCTCAGCTAGAATGAAGTATGATTGGTTATGATGCTAAGAGTTGTCATTTTGTTCAGTACTAATTGCATGCCAGGCACTAAGCCAGCCCTCTTACATACATTAACTCATTTAATCCTCAGAGAAACCCAAAGAGGTAGGTACTAGTATTAATTCATTTTATATATGAAGAAACAGACACTGAGGAAAGTATATAGCTAGTTTACCCAGAGTTCTTTTACTTCAAATCCTGTGTTGTTTTTATTTTTGAGATAGGGTCTCACTTTATTCCCCGGGGTAGAATGCAATGGTATCATCATAGCTCACTGCAACCTCAAACTCCTGAGCTCAAGCAATCCTTGTGCCTTAGCCTCTCAAGTAGCTGGGACTACAGGCACTAGCCACCACGCAAATCTAATTTTTCTATTTTTTGTAGAGATGAGATCTTGCTGTGTTGCTCAGGCTGTTCTTGGACTCCTGGCCTCAAGCAATTCTTACGCCTCAGCCTCCCAAAGTGCTAGGATTACAGGCATGAGCCACTGCACCCAGCAATCTCATGCCTTTAACCACTGGACTCTACTATCCCGCTACAAACATTTATGTGTCAAATGTCATTCTGTGTTTTATGTCCATAGTGTTTCATCTCCAAATACTACTTTTATTGCTAATAGTTGACAATGAAAACATGAAGATTATAATTTCAAGTAGTTTGAATGTCTTAATGGGTATGTACTTTTAAGCACACTAAAATATTTAATATAGGAGTCCCTTAAAAATGATCATTATTTTCCTTGAACATTTGAACTAAAAGGCAAATTCCATACAATATAAAAAGATGTCTCAAAGCCTCACCAGATCCCAGTACTTACCATAGAGCCACCTCTAATGCTTCATATTCCAAAAACTTTAAATGACAACACTTAGACCAGAAAAACCCATAACTGTTTCTCAAAAGGGAGGTGGCAGTATTTTCAGGGTATATCATACACCAAGACCACTTGTCGTTTCACTTTCTGATATGATCAAATCATATCAGTCTAGCCATTGTTAATTCATAACTCCCCACACAGACTTAACAACAACAAAAATTTAGGCAAGGTGGCACATGCCTGGAGTCCCAGCTACTTGGGAGGCTGAGGTAGAGAATCGCTTGAGCCCAGGAGTTTGAGACCAGCCTGGGTAAAGTAGCGAGACCCCTATCTCTTAAAAAAGAAGTCCTCTATATCAGCGGTCCCCAAACTTTTGGCACCAGGAACCAGTTTCATGGAAGCCAATTTTTCCATTGGCAGGGGAAGGCAGAAGGTGAAGCTCAGGCAGTGATGCAAGAGATGGGGAGCAGCTGTAAATACAGATGAAGCTTCGCTCACTCAGCTGTAGCTGACCTCCTGCTGTACAGCCCCCTCCCCCACCTTCCTAAGTTTCATGGAAGACAATTTTTCCATGGATGGGGGAGGTGGGGTGCGGCCCAGTCCCTAACAGGCCATAGACCAATACTGGTCCGTGTCCCAGGGGTTGGGGACCACAGCTCTACACTACCCATAAAAATGCATTGGCCAGAGCAAATCAATATGAAAAGCAAAGATAGCCAAAAGAATGTTTCACACAGTTGGCCCTCTGTATCTGTGGGTTCTGCATCTGTGGATTCAACCAATTGTGGATCCAAAATATTTGGAAAAAACAAAGGATGGTTGTGCCTGTACTGAACAGGTACAGACTGTTTTTCTTGTCGTTATTCCCTAAACGATACAGTATAACAACTATTTATACAGCATTTACATTGTATTAGGTATTATAAGTAATCTGGAGATGATTTAAAGTATAGGGAAAGATTGTGTAGGTTATATGCAAATACTATATCATTTTATATAGGGAACTTGATTTTAGTATTCCTGGAGGTCCTAGAATCAATCCCCCATGGATACCAAGAGATGACTGTATATGTAATTTCAGTGTTTAAGAACTTTAACCATGAATTTAGTTATTTCATAACATATACAAATAGCAATTTTAATTACATAAGAATAACATTAAGGAAAATATATTAGGAATAGTTTATAAAGTGTGATTTTTTTTTTTCTCTCTTTGAGCTCTCTGTTAAGTAACTGACATAAAAGGCTTGATAACACCCCCAAGGTTGGTGGGAAAAATAAGCACTTTCATCTGTTGTTCATAAGAGCGTAAACTGGTACCATACTACGGAGAACAATTTGACAACATCTATCAAAATATAAAATGCATACAGCCTTTCACCTAAAAATCCCATTTCCATAAGTGTATCTAAACATATACTTAAAAACAGCTAAAGTGATAAATGTATAAGATATTGTTTGTAACAACAAAGTTCTGTAAACAATCTAAATATATTTACTTAGCAAGAAAAGATAAATTATGGGTCATCTATACACTGGAAAATTAGGTAGCTAGTAAAAAGAAAGAAGTAGCTCTATGTGGAATGATCTCCAACACATAAGGTTAAGTGAAAAAACATAAAGAGAAGGGTGTATAAAGAAAGCTACTATAAAGGGTTAGCAGGGTAGAAAAAAGTATATATTACAGGTATAATTATATATGTATATGATATTGGTATAAGAATATATAATAAACTAGTTATAGTAGTTGGGAAACTAGGAAGGGGAATTCCTAGAGAGGGAAACAGGGAGGCTAAGGGAAAATGAATAGAAAGGAGACCTACTTTCGCTATGTACTCTTTCATACCACTTAAATTTTGTACTGTGTGTACATTTACTACTTATTTGTCTCTTCCCACTAAAATGTAAATTCCTATGGGTGAGAATTTTTTTTTCTGTTTTATTTGATGTATATCCTCAGTGCCTAAAACAGGGTTTGGCATATAATGGGTGCTCAAGAAATATTTGTTGATTAAATAAATGAAATAAAGTAACTGATTTCACAGTATTGTTGTGAAGGTCATATGAGAATACTAAAGCTCCAGGACATTTTTTTAAAAAAGACTGCATGAAAGGATAATAGGTATTAGCATATTAAAATTACTTATCATTATTCCAGATCCCCCCAATGACCTCACATTACTAGACCTAATCAAATAAAAACATTAAAAAAAAAAACCTATATTCTGTTTGGATTCTTCTCTTTATTTAACCCCAAATAAAGAAGTTTAATGGTATTAGAAATATCCCTAACTACACAGAAATGTCCCAATATTAACTCTTTTACTTTGTTAACAGCAATTGCAAGACACAGAACTCAAACTTTCAGTCCCTATTCTTTTCCATGCAACAGTTACAAATTTTGGATACTACTAAAGAAACTACCCAGTTTCAATGCAAGCAGACTCAGGGTTAAATGCAACAGGGAAGCTACAAAAGTTAATCACTTGGAATTCAAAAAATATTAAAGTTAAGCAGTAATCCGTGACCATCTCTAGGATATGATATATATAATTACTAATACTTTATGGAGAATTTTTAGTAAAGGAAAAAAATGGTTTTAACATTAAAATTTCTGCCTTCTAACTCAGCAACACTTCAATGACATTCCTGCCAAAAGTGCATAACCTGAATCTGTGAGGAAATATCAGACGAACTCAAAATGATCACTTATAAAATAACTGGTTTGTATCCTTCAAAATTGTCAATGTGATGAAATACTTTAAAGACTCAGGAACCATTCTAGATTAAAGAAAACTAAAGAGATATGACAACTAAATGCAAAGTATTAAACTTTCTTTTGCTCTAAAGGATATCATTGGGACAACTGACAAATAAGGTCTTTAGGTTACAGTATTGTTTCAATGTTAATTTCCTGCTTTTGATAATTGTATTATGGTTATGTAAGAAAATGCCTAGTTTTTAGGATATTTATGAAGTATTTAGGGGCAAAAGAGCATCATGACTGCAATTTATTCTGTTTCTAATTGAAGTGAAAGTCACATAACAATATTAACCACTTTAAGGTG